ATTAAAGTAAATTAAAGTATCGTTTATTTTTATAAAACATTTTTATTCTATCTATAGTTGTACCAATTGCAAACTTCAAATATCTTTAGTTCATTTAAGCAAGTAACAGCATAATTTTAGAAATATAATTCTTTTAGGATTATTGTTGTTATGTTAATATATAGACTAATACGGTATTATTACTTTTAGATTACTTTTTAACAGTATGAAAGATCTGATTTCAGGTACTGAAGGTACAATGGAGGTATATGTCTCTGCAATGGAAAGTCCTAGTAAATTCTGGGTTCAAATTGTTGGTCGTGGAACTATAGCTTTAAATAAACTTGTGTCTGAAATGACTGCTTATTATAATGACGAACAAAATCATGAACTACATAAATTAAAAGATGTAAGTATATAAAAAATACATAAATTAGATCTTTTTACTGTTTTATATGATATTAAAAATTACTGTCAGAGTCACTGTTAGTTACTGTTTATTTTGGAGTATACGTTAGTCATTTATTATTTACATAAATAATATAAATAACAAGAATTATCCTACACTATGATATGTATATGATATGTAATTTTTAAGAGATCAATTTAGTACATAACATGTTAAGTGTAGTGATTATATATTTCACTATTATGCATAAACATCATAATTATAAGTAATAAAAGTTGATTATACATTTTAAATTATTATTAAAATTTGATTATTCCATTTCAGATAATACCTGGACAAATATGTGCAGCAAAATTTAGTTCTGATGAACAGTGGTACAGAGCTCAAATTATTTCTGCAGCAGTTGAAGATGGAAAATGTGAAGTCTATTTTATGGATTATGGAGATCATGATGTGGTTCCTTTTGACAATATATTGGAGATTCGAACAGACTTTCTAAGTTTACGCATGCAAGCAATGGAATGTTCTTTGAGTAATGTCAAACCAAGGTAAGTCTTAATACATTATGAAATAATTCTTTTCTAACTGTATTTCTGGTATTTCTTGTATAAATTTGGAAAATGAAACTTTTTTAAAACATCGTTTTTTATTAGAATATGATATTAATATATATTTTACAAAGAACAATCTTAATTAAAACATGCAGGTAATGAAACTTTATAATAACGTCATATATGTACAGTTTTTATTTAAAAATATAAAGTCATAAGTCATTATTTATACAAATTAGTAATATTCATAAAATTAATTACTTAATTCACTATCATCCATATTACTCGATCTTGAACTGCCAATACCAGCTTCACATACTTCATTGAACAATTCTGGATTTACATGTTCCATCATTTTCCACGCTAAACTTTTATTGAGCACAGTTACATTTTCTTCACAGTATGTTAAACTTGCTCTTTTAAGAGCACCACAATGAAATTCATCTGCAACTAAGAGTCTACTTGCTATATTTTCTGGATTTATTGTTTCAATAAGATTTCTTTCGCAAAGCTCTTTCAATCCTATGAAATAAACATGAATATTACTTGTAGTATATTTTAACTGAATCATTTATTTTTAAAAAATACCTTGTAGATAGAAACGCTCTGCTAGAGATAAAAGTTGGGGAGCCAAATTGTCTAAATTATCAACATGATCAGTATATATGTATCGTAATAATTCTTCTGTCACTTCTGTACTTAAATCCAACAATTCTAGCACAAACATATAGTGGTCCTAAAATATATATATCAGAATTAAAATATTTAAAGTAGCTTGGTTTGTTTATACACTTGATTATTTTTATAGTAGGATTAAATACTCACCCATCATGTTAATAAAATCAGACTCACATATTATTTATATTTATATATTAAAATACTTTTATACAAATGTGTACACCAGCATGCTTAGTATAATAAATTTATTAAAACAGATTTCACACAAATTAATGTTTACTCTACATATTAGTATACAGTAAAATAAAATAGATATTAATATTAGTCATTTTAAAAATACCACTAAGAAATGTCTTACAAAGAATATCACAAGACTGGTATATCCAATTTTAATTAAATCTTGCGTATAGATAAAGTAATGGAAGAAACATTATTTTTCATATAAAATGCAAAATTTCAGAAAATATTATTGTATTAATTTTTTAATATTATATCTTTAATTAGTGAACAACTAAAATCAACATTTAAATATGGTAGCAAACATTTGCTCTCTTTTTTGATCACCTTTTCTTCTTCCATGCCTTGCATATCCAGCACTTTTTCTTCAGTATTCACCTTCAAGGTCTCTTTCATTTGTGATCCTGCTAATGGTGAAATCATATCAGCTAGAACACTGCTGCGTGCAGCTATTATATTACTATGGACTGGAATTTCTGTGCTATTTAATCCTCCACAAAGTAATTTAGTGTCTGCTCCAAATGGGCGTTTCAGTAGTCTGGCCATATCCTGAGAAATATCAGTTTTGATAGTTTGGACTTCATAATTATTTTTTAGTGACTGAGTTTTGTTTAGCAAATGATAGATATTTGTTTCTTAAGAGAACTTCCAAAAATTTACTTCTTAAGGATACATGAGATGACATATTTATTGCAGCTAAATGTAATTTCATGATAAATCCATGTTATTTATATGTAACTATTTTTCGTACAATCATTAATATAATTTTAATTTTTAATTTATACTTGAAGTTACAATCTTAAAAAACAAAAGTTAAAGTAAAAATTTTAATGTATAAAAATTTCATAAACAAAAAAGCTCTATTATTATTCTAGAACTTTATTAGGAATATATTTACCTGCGACAAATTGTGTTTTTCATTTTCACACTGAATTATTTGTATTTTAACCATCAACAGAACTTCACCATTTTTCTTTATATGTCTGTCAACTATGGACAAGTCTTTATAACCCAAAGAAATTATATCAGTGCACGATTTCAATTCTAATATTGTCCTGTTCACATGACAATACTCCCAGTGTTTTAATTCAGCATTGAATATTCCAAATTGAAAACGTATCTTTGCTTGTTCTGCTTCATCTATATTGCAGCTCAACATGTTCAGACATAAGACTACAGGGTTTATGATTCTTTTGCCTGTTATCAAATAATGTAACATTCTTTCATTTAATTATTATAGACAGCTTAGTTAGTATAAGAAAATGATATTAACAACCCTACAAGTTTTGATGCTTTTGTACTACATACTTAGAAGTAACAGCTTCATTGAAATTTATATATTTTTTAATTAAATAAGTTCCATTACATTTAATTCACATTTGTTCTATGTAATGATAGTGGTATTTCTTCTATGTATTTTCAAAATTTAATCTTTAAGGTCATGTATCTGTTAGATAGAATTCTTTTCCTTATTATTAAAAATGTTCTTTTTTATACAAATATTTATACTTATTGTCAGTTGTAACAATTTTTAGAAGATCACATAGATCTTTATTATAAATATTATATATTACACCGTGGAGTATGTAATTTGAGTAAACGTAGTAGATTCATTTTTTAAAATTATGAATAGTAAATTAACTCAATGACAAATTATTTAACTGTGAAATTGTTAAATTAAAACAAGTAACAATAATTAACTAATACACAATGGAATGTTCAAATTTATATTTAAATTTATTATATTTTAATATTTTCCCTTAATAAAGAAAAGAAATATCGTTGCAATTCTCATATTTTTAAATTACTTCGTAAACAATATGAATTTGTACAAAATCGTAAATTTACTGATTATGATTTCTCAATTAAAAAACTGTTTTTCTTACCGTCAGGATCCTTCCAGAATCTGATGGACAAATTCCATGAACTATGAATGCCATTCACATTAGTTTGAAATGAGGAACTGTCTATTAAGCTCTTCTTTGAAATAGATTTCTTGTAGCGTGGAATAGGCCACGTGTATTTAAAGATTACATCCGAAATTGTTGGCACAAGTAGTTCCATTTTAGAATGTTTTGTGTAAACTTTTGAATCTATTGTAAACAGAAAAATAATCAGTTATATTTGGAGGTCATAAATACTAAAATATTTTTTTGTTCATTTCTGAAATATATATATTACTGACAGAATTTCAGAGACAGAAAATTATTTAAGGTAATGACAAAACTTCAGTTGTACGTACATTTCTTTTATTGTATTTATACAATTAAAAATATTATGAGTTTATAAGTTTTTGCATAATTATCGATATTGACAGTATTACAAGCGTTGATTAATAAAATATATTATTAAAATAAAGAATTGTAACTAAAAAAATAGTAGTATAAAATAAACTTGTTAAACTTATTTAACTTATTTTATGGAAACCCTCGAATAGAATTTATAACAGATATCGACTTAATTTTTTTTTATTTAAGTAATAATTGACAAGGATGTTTTCCGCATGATTTGAAGAGAGTAATCACGTTTGAAAGGTTTATAATACTATAAAAGAATTGCAATCTATTTTGAAAAATATAGTAGTAGTGTAGTAATTTATTAAATCACAATTTGATGGCCTGGTGAGTGAGTTTCCGTTAATTACTCAGTTTAACAATTTAGCTTAATAGTACATGTTGTAAAGTTATTATCATACTATAGCATTGCCATTACTACACTATTATTATACTACAATATTAGTTTGAAACATCACGGCGTAATGCTTCGTTAATTTTATTTCCTCAGTTCCATAATTCATTTATCTAACGCTCGTTCAGTTTGACATCGTGGAACTACATAAGTAACTTTCATGGCGCAGTATAATCACAGCGTGCAGTCACGATAAAGCTTTAGCAAAAGTGCGCGAAACGCTTCGCCACTGTTAAACTCTCAGCGTTTCGCATGCACCGTCGAAAGGTTTACGAGGTAAACTGCAAGTTCAACGATTAGAAACATTTTTCGTATGGCGTGGTGCCAATCTTCGGTCCCAACTTATCTTCGTTCAACGAGAATTTCTCAGCATTCTATAAAATCACGTTTTATTCCACTGCAACTTGGCAGTGAAATCAAAATAAACGTATGACATCGTGTAATAGTCTGAAGTCTAATTTTATGAAATTATCGAATCTTGTGAAAAATTCTGTTGTATCGAATTACAGATACATCGAAACTACGTAAAATAGCCTTAAACAATTAAATAAGAGTACTTTAAAAGGTACTTTAACCCTTTGCACCCGATTTATCTTCAATGTTGTTGGGTGTAAACTTTTATTTATTTTTAGGGAAATGAATTAAAGTAATTTACAGCGGTAGAATTCAATGTTTTATATTTATTTTATTTATTATTATTATAACAAGATTTAATATTTATAATATTTTAAAGTGTGATACTTTTTAAAGTATAACAAATTTATATTGTCATCTCCAGCATAACATATGAGTGCAAAGGGTTAAAAGAGTACTAATAAAACGGCAGAGGGACAAGAGTTATCTTTCTAATTTACATTTCTATAGTTCTAATTGACAATATTGATTGATGAAATATCAGGAATTAGGAAATAAAACCAACAGAAAATCGGTTGAGAGAAAATGAAAACTGATCGATCGGCTGAATTCCTCAGTCTAGCCATTGATCCCCTAGCACAAGGATGGCGAACCACTGACCCGCGGTTTACAAAGTGACCCATCACTCACATTTTAGTGACCCACTTCACTTTTAGATACATTATACTCAATAATGCCCAGTTATGCTACTGTAAAAAGAGCTTTTAGGCACTTTTTACAGTACCATAACTGGACATTATAAATTATGTTTAATTAGCACTCGGCAACTTATAGCAGTGATGACAGTTTAAGAATTTTTCGGCTAGATCTAGCCATTTTGACTAATTTTTAGCCAATTTGGCTGTTTTTATTTTTTATAATATTCTTCTTATTATATAAATTTATTATAAAATGTATATTTGATAACATCGTTGAAAACTACGAATCATGAGCCTCGGATTAACATATTTGCATCATTAAACGGAATACTTTGCATGCAATAACTATTGCTTATCACTAAGAGCGGAATATTTCGCACACAATTATTTTTAATTGTTTGTGTTACTCGGCTACTTGCAATCGAAAGCTTGAAAGACTTTAAGTTGAGCATCTCAGGTTTATGAAGTAAGCTTCGTATTTAGAGCGAAGATGTAAATGGGTTAAAACATTAGCAGATAAGGTACAACAGCAAGTTTCTCATTAATATAATATGGCAATTAAATTTATGATCCACTTCTTTTCTTCTAAATTGAGGTATCAAAAATGACCCGATCAATTGAGAAGGTTCGCCATCTCTGTCCTAGCAGCATACACTAACGCGAACATTCATCGATGTCCGGCTAAAGCTATGAATTACGCAAAGATTGAGACATCCTCGCGATCCAGCGAATGAACAGAATTGGAATAGATTCCTCGGTGGGCAACCAGTCGAATGTGAATTTAATCAATCTGACCGAATACCGGGACTCCTCGCATCGCGTGCCGCCGAACAGCTAATCGTAGGTGCAAGTAATGCACACACGATGGTTTTTGAATTGGAGTTACCGCGGTGCCTACGGTCGTCGGTTACACGCGACACGACGGCTTTCGAGGGCAAATTAGAGGAATAGCTCGTTGCCAGAAATCCGCAGACCACTTGAAAGCACTGTTTCCTTTGCACACACGCCGTCATGCTTTTATCGACGCGCATTGTGAAAAGTAGCACGTTTCATTTGTCTTAGGAAGACTAACACTTTGCTCATTCTGACCACGAAAACCCGTATGTTTCGACTAGTGATCTCGAAACGTGGAACGTTTTCGTTTATCCCGAAGGATAACGTGTTATTCTTTTCTGAGACGGAAAATGGTACATTTCAATGTTCCATTTTCATTACATTTCAATATATTTCAATTTTTCAAATTTTAATTGAAGTTGAAAGCTACGTTACAAACGCTGCAGATGAATTCATTGAACTTTGTTTCTTTATTGGACAAGTAAAGTAAAATAAAAATTAAAAATTGGGTTTTACCAATAAAACTGTTAAATTAATCTAATGTTTATTACTCATTCGTATAAAGAATAAGGTGATTACAGTATTTTAAATTTCAGTATCCTCCAATTCTATTGTTTAACTTTAGGACATTAAATAATGTAAATTTAACGTTATGGCTTTTCCATATGAATAATTGTGAAAGAAAATTCGGATATAATTAGTCAATTATGTTGAAGTTGTGACAAGCGAAAGAGAAATAGGAAAATGTGAATAGGATCTTAGTAGATATTTAAAATAGTCAACTCCAGGAAAAAATCGATGAAACTAGTTATTTATAACAAACTGACTGTGCAATAATGATAATGGTGGACATTAACGATAAACGAATTAATGTGACGTCATAAATACTTTCAGTGATATATGCTCCATGTGACTTATTATAGATGGCAATTTTGTTATAAGAAACTCAAGCGAAAAAGTAACAGCAAATGTTAAGATCATTAATAAATTAAGATATATTACTTTCGTTTAAATTAACATTACAGTATTGTGATATGATGTATTGTGATATTGAAAAAAGTAATAAGTTTCAGTAGGTAAATATTGTTCAGATATATGAAAATTTTGATTTACTTTAAAAATTAATTTCGTCTAAATAGTGTCACGCATGTTATAAAAAAAATAATGATCAAGCTGTGGAAATTAAATAGTAATTTAAGTCCAATTTTATATGTGAAATTAAAAGAAAAATATTTTTTGTAGTTATGTTAAAGTAGATATGATTATATCTTAATCTCTTAAGTTCCTTTAATAGTAAACCGCATTTCCATGAAATCAATGCTACACGAAGTTTTAGTTAGTTGATACAATCATTCGATCCAATAGAATTGCTGAAGTTTCATCACGTGTAAGTGAATCTATGAAAATTGTTTGTGACAATAAGAACTACGGCCGGCAATTTAAGACAGAATTAACAAATTGGGTAATCACGTTAAACGATTCTTAATTGAGGACGGCCACGATCTCAAGGACTATCTCCGTTATCGATACGAGACCGTTCAAAATGCATGAATAATGGAATAACTTTCATTTATAACCAGGTAGTTATATTTGTTATTAAATCCAAATTGTAACGCTTAATATTTATATATTTTTCTTTTGCATTACATTGTAATGCTTTCCATTCGTTGTACAGTGTTAACCATAACTGATGACGTAAATTGAAGGGTGCAAATTTTACGTAAGGAAATGATTAAAAAAAGGGAAAGCAAGATTTTATTGCAATATTTCTGAAAACATTCATATTAATTATAAGAACTTAGAATGATATTATTAAATATATTAATATAGGATATTAATTATTATAATTACATAAAATATTTGTAACAGGAAAAACATTTTCTTTCACACATATCTACGAATTAACAATAAAGTTAACGTAACAATAACTTCGAAGTTGGACTGACAATGAAACATACGGGGTAGTAATTTTCGTTTGAAATATTTGTTTACGTACGAACTATTTTGCCTTGTGATAGTTTGCCAAACAGTAAGCTGAATAAATTGAAGCTGACGGAAATCTTCCGATTCTTAGAACATATACATGTTACATCTATTATTACAAAACATTTCAAATTAAAATATGTAATGTACAAGTAGAATTGACTGACAAAAAAGAAATTTAAAAAAAGCTTGTATCTATTTTTATTTCTTATTTATACTCAGAAATATTAATTAGTAAATATATAAAGTGAATTTTTAAAAAATTTGAACCTTTAATTCAGAATTCTCTTTCCTTAATTGACTCACAACTCAATATATAAAATTATACGGTCTTTATTTTTTAAACACATTAAAGTTTCACACTGAAACAGTTGAAATGAAATAGTTTCTTGCCATCTGATGCTCGCAACATGTCTCCAATCGTTCATAAGATTCCATTTAACAATAAATGTACCATGCTCGGTCAAATGCAGTTTCAAAATATGATTCTAAATTCTGCGTTTCCCTTCATTCACTTAACTTTATGTCAATGCCTATATTGTCGGATTAATCGGTTTTTCAATCTTTGTCTACCGTTTCACTTGTTTACTTTTATTTTATAACCAATTATTTGACTGGTTACAGTAGGAATTGGCACATTTAGTGTTAACCCCTTGCCCTATCATTTATTTTTCAATTGTGATCGACACCACAACTTTGCCAGTAATACTTTATTGAAAAAAAAATAAAAATTCTATGCACATATTATGATTACGTTTGCCTTAGAATATAGTAATTGGCAACAGAAGGATAATATATCATTTGAATTCAAAGGAATCGAGTAATATTTATGTTTCTTGAATTCTATTTAAAATATTTACCGAATCTCACGCGTTATTAAGGCAAGGGGTTAAGAAACCAACGCGAAACTCCACAGTACAATGGTACACGATCCAACGGTCCTCTTTAACACTCGGAATCCCACTTGACACTGTTACGTTCTCAGATTAAACACACTCGGTGTCACGTAATAAATACCTACTTACGTGAAAGTGACACACGCATCTATTCCGACGTTCATTAACGTCGACTGGAACGAGCAAGAAGTTCTCAGAAATTGATATTTCGCTCGTTGCTTGGATTCGAAGTGTCACACACTGAATAAAATGATCTTAGCATAAACTCGTTGCTTCGAACTTCGAAATTCGCACACAAAATGCGGAATCCTTGACTCTCCTTTCGATCGTTGCGACGATGAAGTTGATTTTTCCACTTCACGTTTAAACGAAAGAAACGTAAAATTCGATTTAAGCTTACTAATTTTTATTCCAATTATTCGTTTTAGTAAATGCTGTTATATAATGTTAGAAGTGTAGATGTCTGTGAAACAGAGATTATGCTATCGGGCTCTATTTCTTTTCCCTTAACGAGAATATTGTTCGGCTTGAGGACCGTGAAACGACTGAGACCCTCAGTCCATTAAACGAGGGCCTACGTTCGTCACCCACATCATCTTCTCGCACGTGTACTTACACTTGTGTTGCGCCGTTTATAAATGGAACAAGACGTCCTGAAAGTGCTTAAACCTTTGCAAATGGGGGTGCTTCACGCACACCGCCTTTGTTCCGTGTGGCGATGGTGGCTCAGCTACCCTTCAATGTAACTTGAATCTCGGTTGCGAAATAGGGTTAATGGTAATTGCGTCAAACTTGTGTTTTGCACGTTGAAAATAAAGAAATTCTCACTTTAATTGTTCTATAGATCCGAGATCATTCGAGGGATTCTATTCTCTGCGAATAATGTTTGATAAGAGCTTAGTAGAGACTTTCATGTTTTAGTTAGTAACAAGATAAGAATAGATTTGAATGAAAGAATTTTTGAGGAATGGGACAATAGATTTTATGATAATAAGTTTCTTTTATTTGATTCTTAGGTAGCGTTCAAGTAAATAATTGGACTGGTGTAGTAAAGGTGGTACGCTGAAAAAAATGAAATAAGTTCCAAAAATTAAATGTCATTCAATTATTTTAGGCTTTCAATTATGTCTAATACTACTTTTCTATTACTAATTTTTATGTTTTGAAATAAAGGTGGATGTAGATGAATTGGGAATTTCTCTTTAATAATTTATCAGAAAACAAAGAATAACTAATAATTTGTCAGAAAACAGTGACAAAATTGTCCTAGCGAGCGTTGTTATGAAAGAAATCGTAGGACAAGGGGTTAATACGAAAGTCTGGTAAATGAACCGTGTTTCTTTTCTCATTTCTAACGCAGAATGAAAATACATTCTTTTCAGTGTGTTCTTTACTTTTAGAAAAAACAAAATTTCTAAGTACTCTCTTATTCACGAAACTCCCGTCAGTATTGTGATTTCTTGTTTGCAGTATTTTTTATGATTAAACTACTGATTTTTATGCATCCGTGTAATAATACATAAATTTCTTAAATATAAGAAAACATATTAAAACACATTAATAATATGTTTATATTACTCTTGTCACGAGGAACGTTTTGAACAGTGAAGGAAATTTCTATCTTAATCAAATTTTTCGATAATAATCAGTAGAAATGGAAATTTACATGAAGCAGATTATATAAGTTAAAGTTATGATTGTTATTTAGAAGCTCAAACAATAGGCGTGTTATTGTTGAAATCTGTATATACGTGTAAATAACGTTTTGTACTACTCACCTTTATTAACGACACACACTCGCATAAATGTTTACACGGTTTATTTGTTCCCATTCTGGCTCGTGCGTCTAGTTAATGTATCATCTACATTTAGCTCACGTGGAAAATCACCAACATTGTAGATACGTAGAGTGTGCAAATTTTCGCGATTAGATACATGAAGTTGGTTATTATGGAATGAATTTAGTCGAAGCGTTTGAACTAAATAAAAAATTTACCAAATTAAAACCATGTGAAAGAGTTCTTTTTAGACCAGTCTTTTCAGCAAAGACGATGGAACTAACAAAATTGAGGGAGAAAAAGTAATAAACATCGCTATCGAGATAAATATTTAATTTAAATAAATTTAATTTACACAAATTCACTTTTACGAACTTTGTTAAATGTTAGTAATATTTATTGTAGGTGCACACTATATTAATTAATCACAGTATTAATTGAGAAAAAGTATTGTATCAACACGTTTCAACACGTTCAAGTCTTTCCACTAAATTATTGATTTTAGGTATTTGTAATATATACATTTTTATAAAATTTATAAAATGCTAAATTATTGTGTCTCATTTTCAGTGGAATATTATCATATTACGTTAACTGGAAATTTCATTATTCTATTTTTTCAGTGAACGTTTTTTTAAATAGCCCTGAATAGTGATAGAACGATACGTATTTAATCTGTCATTGCATTTTATATTTGGTCACAAAAATCATTTGAACGATATGATTTTGCATTTCCATTCTCATAATAAATTTCTTTACAACTTATATACACATTATTTTGTTCTGTACTTAATATAATTTTCTTTAGCCCAATGTAACGTTCATGTAATTTTTAAATATATAATTAACCTTCGACTATACTATTGATCTAATATATTCAGTGTTTATTGTGCGTTAAGTTTTGGAGATGAAATAACATTTTTGGCCACAAGATTCTTCTCTTGTTGCCAATTAACCGACATAGTTATGATGCTACGCTTCATGTACTTTCGTGATTTGTGATTTTACTCTTGCCAATAGTAAATCGAAAAGATCTTATAGAAAAATATCTTCTGTGTCTCTGGTTCTGTTGGATGAAACTGTAAACACGATCTTCACAGTAAATGTTTAAAGTATATATCTATGTATAGCGTACGGGAATGCTTGAAAACACTATGAAATTAATGCTTTAATTAAGAATATCAAGATTTCTGCTTTATTTAGAAAGATAATACTTAATTTTCATTTTTCAAATTTCATTCCCCAAGATATTAAAAATTATTATAGATTTGAATTCGATAAAATTCAAGGATATTCCTTATACGAATTGATTATGCATATTATCGTTTCCTAAATAATGCAATTACTTACTTGTCAATATAGCAGTCACTTCGAATCCTAAAAGCAGTTAACACTTTGAATTCGTTCATATTAAATAGTCAATCCCCTCACTTATTTGTAAAATATCAAATTCTTTAATCCATTCATTATATTTCATTTTTTAAAACTAAATTTCATTGAGTCATATCATCACTATAAGGAAAAATGTAGGAATACCTTGTATGCACAGTTCTATTCAAATGAACCTCACGTTTCATTGCTTACTATTGTCATTTTTCGTAATTATTACAGCACAACATTTCATTTGTTATAACAATTTGGTGTTTATGTTGGTCTATTTTTTCTTTTAATTCAGGGAGGACGAATGGAGCGCTGAAGCTTGCGACAGATTCGCCGAGCTTACTTGGCTAGCTCAATGGAGAGTCCTCCTGGCTAAAATTGAAGGGTCCAAAGATCGGACTCGCAGCTATGGCGCGTCTCACCGTGAAGGATCTCCGATTCCTTGCGTTGACCTTTTTGATAAAAATGAAGATAAGGTAAGTTTGAGAAATAAAAACTAAGATTAACACTTTTTACATAAAGTCGCATTATAAATTTCAATTTTTATGCTCCGAAGGCAGAGCATTTAGTGTCTACCTCTAAGAAATAATTTTATTAACTAAATGTTATTGACTAAATAATAAATTAATGTCAAATAAGTATCTTTATTGTAAACAAAATTGTTTCATTAATTATAAGTAAAATGTAAGTAATATTTCTTTTTAAACAATTTGGTATAATTTTAATACTGATATAATTATTATCATCATTTGTCTTTTGATGACAACTCGCATTTCCCAGACTTTTTATTACATTTTTTACATATATACCCTTTCATCAAACTGCAAGTGATTGTAATTGTACTCAATTAATTTTTCTTTTTCTTTCGTATTGTTTCACTTTCACATTGACAATCAGTATTCAAATCGTACTAAAATGAAGTAACACATATACAGTGAAGAACATAAAGAAACTGATAAACCTAGAAAACATGGCATATTGGGGAAAAAGTATCATTCTTTTGATGGGATTAAATAGTGGTTTCAATGTTTCTCCTTGTACAAGTACAGTGGTGCTCGCTTAGTGGTCGCAAGTCGGTATTCTCTTGCGACCATTATCTGCAAAGATAAGGTTCGAGGAATTAACGACTCTTTTCTCCTTCTAGCTCGCTCGATTCTGAATGGGTTAGGAGGTAAAGTGAGAAGCATTGAATACGAGTGAAATACGAATGCTGCAGTTAACGGGACAAAAATTACTGCTACTGTACTCTGTGTATAAAACTTTAAACGTGTTTTTTTCGGGTGGACTTAAAAGATTAGACTAATTGATTTGACATTGTAGATGTTGCTTTTTAGTGAGATTCAGGACCTGCTAACAGAAATTTTCTTTTTAATGCAAATTTTCTGTTTCGATTATAACAGAAGATAGTGGGGTAGATATTTCCGAACAATTAGATAAAAATTTATTATTTTTTTTGACCCGTTAATAATACTATGATGTACAGAAATATAAAGTGTAATGTTTCACAATGTTTCAAATGATTATAATGTAGTAAGACGCAGTGTGATTGTGAAGATTTGTTTTGTTCGTATCTTGTTTGCATTCTTAAACAGATTAATTTTAATAGTTTGAACAATGTTTTCATGTAGCCTTCAACAGTACAGACATTAAGGTGTTCTTATTTATGTGTGCCATTCTACACACATGATACGTCCCAAATTTGTTTTTGAGAAAACTGTTAGGACGTTTACGCCTAAATGCAATCATTTATGTGTAGTGCCAACTTTTGAGTTTTATTTTTCATATACTAACCGTTTTAAAACGTACACTAAAAATCCGAGTTACGATGCGGTGTTACGTGACATTAATAATCATGATTTTTTATACAATGACGACATAAATTGTGATTTATTGTCACACGAAAGTATACTTTTCAAAGTAGATCAGAGACCGTAAACTGTCGAAGAAAATAAAAGAATAAGAACGCATCTTTAACATTGGAACTATAAACTGTCAAAAGTGACTCATTCATAAATTCTTTTTTCGCAATTTTTCGACAGTTGTTTCCTTGAAAAATTACTAAATTGAGTTGGTTTCGTAACAAGCGGAGTAAAATATGAGGAAATCGAAATCTCAGTACATACACTCTTGTAATTTTTATAAAAAAAAAGAAAGAACAAAGTCAGTTTGACTGCTCGATAGTTCTAGTGTCAATGAATTTCTTATTGCTTTTACAAAATTATTTCTTGGTATTTGTATAGGAAATCAACGTTGCTGAAGAGTTAATAAAGGAAGGCTTCGCGGAACCGGAAGATCCATTAATATCGACTATTGCCTCTGCCGCGTTTAGTCCCAGGTCTATCTCTCCAGCGGAGAAGAGAACTTTGAGGACTAAAACCCCGACACCCACTCCATCTAAATTGGAAACACACCCTAATTTCGTTGATCTAGTAGATGTTACGACTTCCTTGACTAATGAAATTGACTTGACCACACCAAAGGTAAGTGTCTTTTTCTTACCGGGATATATTTGAACATTTTTTATATAAAAGTTATTTATTGACTCTTTAGTTTTTAAGTCGAAGATCTCTCGTAGCAATAGAATGAACTAATTTTTCAATACTTTTAGTTGAAAATTATTCATTTTTAACTAGAAAATTATTTACTTATAACATTAGTAACTTATAAAACTATTAACCAGAAACGAATATATAGTTACTTCATAACTAGTTTAGAATTTTGACGGTTTCATTCGACCACTATGCTTTATACTTAGCATTCTTTGCATAGTTTTATAATACTCTTTCATTTTTTAATGTAATTTCTTTTCCTTGTATTTTGTACGTTATTAAGTATGTATATGAAATGGTGATCGATCTGTCCATTTTCACAGCATGTCTACAATTTGTCCAGGTCGACGTATATCGTTGATACGTGCATTCTTTTTATTACTTTTCTTTGTTGTAAGACACTACACATGTTGTACGAAACAAATCACAGATTGAAGTATAATATAACATCGAATACGGGCTATGACTTAGAAATAGATGAATATTTGGCGATGTGAAACAGTTACAGATGCGATCGTTTCATGTTTCCATTTTTAACCACGTAATAACAAAAATAAAAATAAATAATTAGAAAAAACAAATAAATAAACTTAACTTGATTCTACCACTTTGGTTCCGTAGTTTGTTATCTCAGGCTCCGATCACTGTAGTCCCTGAGTTTTGAAAAAGATGGATATTTTTGTCGAGTACATAAATTAGATATTGGTCATCCCTAAAAGGGAAGTAGTGTAATGATAGAGGAAAAGGCGAAGGTTTGGAATGTGACTTCGAAGGAATTAACTCCGATCAGTCACAGAGCGAATTGAAAACGGGGATATGGTGGGAATGACGATGACACAATTTTGAAGGGGTCCCTAATGTTGCAATTATCCAATATTCACTGTAAATCGTTATAAAACTCTCGTTCTCGCTCAATAGTTCTCGGTTTTCCGCTTTCTGATAGAACGGTACACCAAAAGGAGGACTGCAAAGAGTAAAACGAAATTGGACATGGAAAGTTAGTGACACGCTCGGCTGCGGTTAACCGTTAAATCTGCGGATACATGGGGATCTCGTGTTTGCAGTATCTGTATTAATTTCTTGCAGAAGCCCGCCGCTCGGATCGAGGAAATCGATCTCGTGACACCGGTGAAGGATGAAACGGCTCGTTTCATCGACAACGAGAAGAAAGTCCCGCGGGAGGACGGTAGCGGCGACTACCTGCGTAACGGAAGCAGTGGCCATCGATACGACAGACCTCATGCTTCCGGCTTCAAATTCAACAGAACGCAGCGTATCGCTCCTGCCGGATACGAGAGCGATCTCTCCAACGACTCGGACGAATTAGAACTGGGGTGAATCCATTTTCTTCAAGCACTTTTCTAACTGTTGCTCCCCTGTCGACGTAGAGAGCAATTCTGCTGGTGTCTACAAGATCGTGTCTTACTTTCTTCCACTCGGAGCTTCCTGTTCTTGCCTTTCCACGATATTTTTCAATATGTACTTCTAGGTAAAATGAATCTCTTAATTGTGCATAATTGTTAGGCATTCGTGATGTCATGGATAATTATTGCAATGTTCCTAAGAGTGGCCTAATTTGAATACTGTATCAAAAAGTGCCATAAATCTGTGATTCGGACTAGATTATGATTACAAACAGATTGAGTATTTTATTTAGTTTAGTGGCCTGTTTCATATCAACGGAGGTGTTACTTTTGAAAACGTGGACATTGTTTCTTGTCTAGCATTGCAATTTAGTTGGAAGTTTTATTTGATTTCTGTTGTTGTGAAGTAATCTATAGAAATGTTAGTTATGTTGAATACAAGTTTTGTTCTTTGTATATAAGAGTATATTATTCGACCGTGGGCAAGTGTATCTTGTAGACATCACTGAAGGAACTGTTTATTAGTTTTACCAATGCTCGCAAGTATTTGGCCGTTCATTTAGAAAATGTCTTTCGTTTAACTTCTTCATTTGCGTTAGATCATAGCTTTTCTTTTATGTTAATTAAGAGGTTAAATGAAGTCAAGTAGTCGTAACGATTAGTTTCAAAAATCTTTCGTTGAACGAAATGATGTAAGCACTGCAACCATATCATCTGATTCATTTTTAATGACTACAGCGGGTAATGACTTCACGTGCGTGAAGTTACAAGTAGTTAGCGAGGGCAATTGGAAACAAATATTTACTTTCAAAGACAAAAAAGTTTTTATTTCTTTTGTTAGTTTTTTTCTGGTTAATTTGAATACAGGTTTAAACAAACTTAATTTATACGTGAGATTGAAATTTATTTTCGAGTGTAATACCATTTATTTCAGCATACTTACATAAAGTTAACTTTATGATACAATAGTGTACAAAAGTTCTCAACACATTCTTAATTTTTAATGTAAATATTAAATATTTAAATATTACACGTATACTATTTAAAGCTATAAAAACTGAAGTATGGTAAGAAGGAAATGAGACGTGCATTTGAATAAGTTCGTAAAAACGTACAATATTTACCGAATAAAATTTATTTTTTAATACAGAAAAATCTGAAGAAAAATATTATTTTTATAAGAAACCACAAAAAAGACAGTACAAAGTACACTGTGCTAAAGCCACTACTTCATTATTTAATTATACATAAATACTATGCACTGTACCTGATTGCATATTTCTTATATGCAACATCGTAGAAGTTTAATATTTACTAATTAATTAATTTTGTTTTCAATAAATAACGTAGACTTCTATTTCTGTGACAATATGTGATATTATTCGGTTGATAGTTAACAAATATAATAAACTATATTATTTAAATACGTAATTAAATACACTTTACTTGGGTACTTAATTTACTACATAATTCCAAAGGAACAACCATATTGCAGGATATATCTATTTATATACAAAAAGATAATTCTATTGAAGTGGATCTCATGACATTCTAGATCATTATTACATTCAAATATTTAACCCAAAACACTTTGTCTCGAATATATAATGTAAATACTAAAATTTTTATATTTTTATAGAGAAAGTGAACTAAATATTTTGTATTAACTTTTAATGAAATTTTAAATCTT